TCTCAATGTTCTGGTAAAGGACTTGGGTGGTATACCAAGATATTTCCACCTAGACCATTCTGAAATTCCATTAACACCAAATACGTCGCACACTAAATCTCTAGTTCGTTTATTATTAACCTTAAGAAATATAATGATCGTTAACAAAAGCTTATTACTGCAGGCATTAGAACAAGCTAATACTCATCCACCTCGAAATGTTAACCCAAGTCCTACTGTTTCATCTCCACCCTATAATTATTAGGTAAGTATAGAGATATTGTACTGCAGAGCAGGGCACTTCGTGCTTAAATTATCATGTATTTTTATTGTATCGGTCGTACTGGCTTTGCTAATAAAGTATTCGAGTTGGGAAGATTATATATTATGTCGCATGGGACACATGATCGAGTATTGAGATGTATTCACCCGGGAAATTAATTATATGCTTGTAGTACATCCAGAAATAGATTTAACCCCCGAAATAGATCGTGCAATGATTACCCAGATATAAAATAACATCTGCCCTTATCAATTGCCTCATCTTGATTGGGTGATCGTCACTTATCGATTATTTCTCACGCTTCCTGTGATATGAGATCTCTTGACAAAAGCGATTGGCGTGAACAATGTGATGTAATTTCGTAGTTACGGCGTGATAATTATTTTCAGATTAAATTTTTATCCTTTTGCTATATCTTTAGCCGAAAAAGGCTAACAATAAATATTTTTCTTCTTTAAACATATATTATTATAAATATAAACTTGCAAAAATGTCATCTGAAAACGAAATTGATACTAGCGATAAAGTTACACACCTCGAGTTCGTAGGAGACAAGGTCACCCTTTTGGAAAAATTTTTAGAGTCAGCGTGTAAGAAACAAAAAACATCTTATAGTTCAAACCTAAGAAGCCTCAAAATTACAGATTATTCTAAACTCTCGGATAACAAAGTTCTAAGTATAGTACGCTCATATCCAAATATAACCAGTCTAAATTTTGAACAAAGTAGAAGTTTTACTGATGTGTCACTTATAGAAATTGCCCGATCATACCCCAACTTAGAATCTCTCAATGTCCGCGGTAACCAAGATATAACTGGTTACTCCATATATAAAATTGCTCAATCATGCAAAAAATTACGCTACCTTGATATTGGGTTTTGCGGGAACATCACCGATGATTTCGTATATAAAACAGTAAAAGCGAGTTGTAAATTAGAACTTCTGTGTATTGGTGGATTAAAACGGTATAAACCAATTTCTGATCGAACAATAGTTGCAATAGCCCACTCATGTCCTAATCTTTACCATCTTTCTTTAAAGGGTTGTCATAATATTACTGATAGTTCGGTTAATAAATTGTTGCAACATATTCATAATTTAAAATTTCTAGAACTAGATCAGTGTAGATTTATCACGGATTCATCTATCTGTAATATTGCTAATTTTTGCCCGAAGCTCGAACATCTTGATATTGGTGCCTGCGATGCTTCTGATACATCTATCTGTAATATTGTGCATTCGTGTAAAAATTTAAAGTATCTTAATATCAGGTGTTGTCGTCTTGTTACTGATATAGTTATTCATGAAATTGCTCAGCATTGTTCAAACTTAGAATTTCTTTCTATAGTAGGCACAAATATTACTAAAGATGCATTGAGCAAACTTAATCCAAAGATCAAGATAAAGCGGGATTCAACACTTGAAATGGACCCAGAAAAAGAACTTGATGATCTCCGGACATCACTTGTTTATTTATTGCAGGATTTATGGTCAACTTATGCGAATCTCGAAGATATTGTACAATACTGCGAAGACAAGATTAAAGATGAACATTATCAAAAATCAATTGTGGAATTGGAGCGGGATATGAGAGGTACAGCTGAAAGGCTCGGTTTGATGGTACGTATGTATGGCCTTAAAGAGAAAATTAATTATCGGCCTACAAACCCGGAATACGACACTAATTATGCTATTACTGAGTTTGTCCCACGCGATATAAAATATAGAGGTAAAGAACCCTTATCCTCACACATGAAATTTCAAACACCACGAAGCGAGTTCCATCAAAAATTACGTAAAAATGATTTCTTTTCCTAATATGCTGACAGTTCGTATAGAACAGAAAATTGCATACGAAAAAATAGCTTGGTAAATAATTATCCATTCTTCGACATTAAATAAAATTATTTGTATACCATGCTGAATGATTAAGATTAATTCCGCCAATCTCTCTGATACAATTACTGAGCGAAGAAATTAAATCTGTTTCATCTAATAATGTACCGGTAAACATTGGAATAGGTAGAGGTAGATCAGAATTGGGCCATTTTTCATCCGAATAATCGGGATGTTTAATTTTAATTTTAGGATTAAGTTTTTTCATCACTTCTTCGCAAATCCCTTTACATCCCCCCAAACTAAGATATTTCGAATTAGTACAATTGCGGGCTATTTCCTCGACAGCTTTATTATTAATCGAGCAATTACCAAGCTCAATATGTCTAAGTTCTGGGCATGAGCGAGTAATTTCAGTGATACAACGATTTGTAAGACATATACATGAATTAAGACTCAGATGCTGTAGTTTCGGAGAATATCTCGCAATTTCTATAATTGGTATGTTAGAGAAACCAACACTTCGATCAAGAATGAGGGTGCGTATATCTGGACATGAGCGTAGAATCACACTAATCAACGCATCTTTGATTTTTAAACCTTCTAACCTGAGATATACCATTTTTGAACAATAGAGTGGCTTTATTTTTCTACACATAACTGTTTTAAAGTTTATCAATCGCCGAGTAAGAGCTCGAGGCATCTTTCGACCGTATGGACCTCTCTGATAATCTTTTTCTGTATAAAACTCAACGCGACGCCATAGAATAGGAGCACCGCAGTAATACCAAAAGTGGTTAACAAATAAGGTGGGATAGAGGGATCGATCAATTTCTAAATAATATAAGATTTGTTCTAGTAATTCCGGTAAATCAAAAATATTTAGACCTTTGGATTATGATTCAAAGAAGAGACAGAGTCTCGAATCTCCGATTCATCGCCTAGACCCAAAGGGTCATTGCTCTGCAATAACGGCCTGCTCTGCAATAGTTGCGTCATTCTCAAGTTGTATATTATATCTTTAATCGGAAAAAAACAGCTAATGTTCGAATAATTAATTTCAGACGCATACACTATGCATTTTCCGGATATTCTCAATTTTACTCAGTTTCTCTACTAGCTCGTCTAATGGATGGTCTAATCCACATCTTATAGCTTCTATCTGATTCTCGGGTGATAATCCACGAAGAAATTGATGTTTAAGATGATCTTCATTAAGTCCAGCTAATTTACAATATTTTTTTTACTTTCATGTAAAAATTCATTATCGAACTCTCCTCTTGACTCAAATTCCCGAATTGAAAATTTTGAATATCAGTATATCCGGATGAGATTCTATTCAAGTGATCGACTATTTCATTCAAAGGCTTTTTAAAGCCAAATCGAATTACTTCTTTTTTATTATCTCGTGATAGGCCATTAAAGAAAGTTCCCTTAAGGTCTTGATTTTCTAAGTCGATATCCAATGCTGTAGCATATATCTTTATCATCTTGAAGTAATCATTCACAGACTGATTGAGTTGTGTTGGTGGTGGAATTTTTGGTCCAATAACTAATTGTATATCAGTTCCATCGAGCAATGTAAGAGTTTTATTTGGGAAGTCCAGCTTCATTGCATTTTCCTGGAACCATGGCTGACCCAATATCAGTACAGATTCAAGTTTATTGGTAACGAAAACATCAGAAACTACTACTTGCTCCCATTTACGATCTCGAGACAGGATCGAAATCTCTATTTCACGAATTATTCCCAACACATCGACCTTGCTAATGGGATTATATATTTCTGCAGGTGTCATCGATTTTCAAGCCTACACCATTTACTACTTCCTCACCTATAATATTACAATTAGCACTGGATTCTAGTATAACTGTTATTGGTACTTTATGACTCGTAGAGTCGCCCAAGGGCCTGATTTCGCAAGATAAAATTTCATTGTGGAGTTTTGTTATAACAATATATTTAATTTTGCATTTTTAAATTCGTATTAATAAATAATAATTCGCATTTACAATGACTGAAGCTAATAGCAAGTCTGTTATAAATGAAGCAATGTTAAAGCAACAGAGCGTAATTGATTCAGGTTCAGAATGTCCAATTATCACTTATGAGGTTGCGAAAAAATTTGGTTTCATAAAAGATAAAAGTTTACCCAATATTACCGATAAAGCAGTATCTGATATTGTTAAGCAAGTATCGGGTAAAAAAATCTGGATCTCTCTTCACCGATTACTGGAGATAGTAAAACCCGAGGTTCATCAAGAACTTATAAACTCGATAGCAAACCCGGATATTTCTCGGAGAAATTGTACACCATGCAAGGCTAAAAGAAAAAAATTAATTTTTAGTACCCCTGGTACTTGCTCCGCTAACGATACCGCATCTGAGTCCTCGTCTTCATCTGAATCGTCCAATGATGATGAAAATTTTACTGTGAGCAAAGAAGCGTAATTAATTACCATCATCAGAAATTTCTCCGTATAGGTCAATGATATCCGATACTTCATCATATCCTTGTTCAATCATAGGTGGTGGATTATTCAGTCTGTTATTCATTATGCCGTAATGATCTGATGCTTCTCGATTTATTTTGTGCCTTAATGCTAATTTACGAAGCTTGTTACGATGAGAGTCATT